TAAAATTTTCAACTTTTTCCAAATCATATGGTCCAATTGAATATTGATCAAATACATTCAAACAATGTTCAATGATTCGTTTTTTATATGAAAACAATTAAATTAAGTTAAAAATAAAATGGAAAATGATATAAAATAACAATACAAATATGAATTTGAATTGACAATTAATATAAAAGAAAAGAAACGAGAATAAGTGGTGAATACGGAGATTATTAGATTATGTTCACGGTAGGGATGGTTAAAGAGAAGCCAAAATGTATTAACGGTTGTTATTGATGAACGGCAATCCATCAGAGATGTGCGTCACGAAACTGTGTGTGTACATAAACAATGTGGCTTTCAAGCTGTTTGAAATCCTGTTTGAGAAAGGAAATTGATCACCAAAAATTATCACTTGGTTCATAATTTCATTTGTATTTACAAATAATATTTTTATTTAATTATAATAATAAAATCAATCAATTTTGATGATCGGGATGGATTATCCTAAGGACAATCATCACAAAAATCAAAATAATCATGGCATATTTTTGATATCCCTTTCACTTCACGATGAAGTGGTAACAATTCGGCGGGATTACATAGAAAATTCAAATTGGTCATTAAACAATGTAGATAATTTTCTTTAAAATGACAGCAAAATTTTTCCATTGTTTCAGAATCGAATGAATCACGTAATGATTTCATATATTCATTCAAACAATGATCTTTTATTTGATTTTTATAATTGTGGCATAATGTATTTGGACTTAACCGATGTTTATTTCGTAAAATATCTTGCCAAATTTGATTGATTGTTAATTTTTTTGATATTTTTTCTATTAATTCTGTTGTTGATTCGGTTGTAAAAAATTGTTGGCCATTATCCAATTCAATGCCAATGTTTAAATATAGAAAAATAATCGTTTGGATCAATAATAATGACGCGATAATCATTATTATATAAATATTTTTGTATGCCATTTTTTTGAATTTAAAATTGACAATTTTAAAGAATTTACTTTGGATAATATATTATGATTTCAAATAGTAATTCTCAAATACAAGTTATCTCCGAATTTTTTCAAACTGGGGAGAGTAATCGCGATTCAATAACGATTTTAATTAACTAAACTATAATCGATATTTATACAATTTTTTTTAAAACAATATGTTTAATTGAAAATTAAACATATTTTATTCTGTTTTTTTTTACAAATTAAAATTAATTAATTAAAGCAATTAAAGGCAACACAAGACTTTTAACACAGAACAAAAAAAAAACAACTTTTATTATTTCTTCACTAAGCTACAAAGAACAATGTCAGACAACACCGATGATTTGTGGTCATTTTTCACTTGTTTACTTATTTGATATGTATTCATGTGTCTTCGGCATCAATGGATAAATCACAATAATCTATTAAAATTTAATTTTAAAAAAAACATTACAAAAACTTTTTATAGTAATTATTTATTTAAAAACTTTTTT